GTTTACTTTGTTGTTTATCGCCGCACTCAGCAATATTCCAGCTATATGATTGCGGTATCTAGACAGACGAAGAGCTACACACATGACGCTATTCGGTAGACAGACGAAGTGGCTGCATACATGACGCTATTCACTAGACAGGCGAAGTGGCTGCTTACATGACGCTATTCACTGGACAGGCGAAGAGGCTACGCACATGACGCTGTTCAATAGACAGGCGAAGTTGCTGCATACATGACACTATTTTCTAGACAGACGAAGAGGCTGCATACATGACACTATTCACTAGACAGACGAAGAGGCTGCATACATGACACTATTCACTAGACAGACGAAGAGGCTGCATACACGACGCTATTCACTAGACAGGCGAAGTGGCTGCATACATGACGCTATTCACTAGACAGACGAAGTGGCTGCATACATGACGCTATTCACTAGACAGGCGAAATGGCTGCATACATGACACTATTCACTAGACAGACGAAATGGCTGCATACATGACGGTATTCACTAGATAGGCGAACTGGCTGCATACATGACGCTATTCACTAGACAGACGAAGAGGCTGCATACATGACGCTATTCACTAGACAGGCGAAGTGGCTGCATACATGACGCTATTCACTGGACAGACGAAGTGGCTGCATACATGACACTGTTCACTAGACAGACGAAGTGGCTGCATACATGACACTATTCATTAGACAGACGAAGAGGCTGCATACACGACGCTATTCACTGGACAGACGAAGTGGATGCACACATGACGCTATTTACTAGACAGACGAAGTGGATGCACACATGACGCTATTCACTAGACAGACGAAGTGGATGCATACATGACGCTATTCACTAGACAGGCGAAGTGGCTGCATACACGACGCTATTCACTAGACAGACGAAGTGGATGCACACATGACGCTATTTACTAGACAGACGAAGTGGATGCACACATGACGCTATTCACTAGACAGACGAAGTGGATGCATACATGACGCTATTCACTAGACAGGCGAAGTGGGTGCATTCATGACACTATTCACAAGACAGACGAAGAGGCTGCATACATCACGCTATTCACTAGACAGGCGAAGTGGCTGCATACATGACACTTTTCACTAGACAGGCAAACATGTTGCATACATGATGCTATTCACTAGACAGGCGAAGTGGCTACATACATAAGATTCTATTCACTAGACAGGCGAAAAGGCTGTTATTTCCTTCTTAAGACGAGCAAATTTTAAAAAGACATGCATGTACTCTACAAGTATCCTGGGGAAAAAACTAGGTGTTTCTTTGAAAATATGATTAACGACTGAGCATCTGAAGTCGATCTAAAGTGACCTAGACTTTTTCCGGTGTGATACCATCATACAGAGGGCAGGGATCAAAGCCATGGCTGCTGTTGACACGCCAAGAACATAAGCACACACTACCTTCATAGAGAAAACTTGAAGGACAGTTCATGAGAATATAGACTGAGGCCTTGATCAACTGTGAGAAATATGGTGCCCGATACATGACTGAAAAATGTCAAATAAGGTCCATTACAGGACTGTATAATATTAAATAAGGCTCCGTCACAGGACTGTACAATGTCAAATATGAAATAAGGTCCCGTTACGTGACGGTATAATATAAAACAAGGTCCCGTTACATGATGGCATAATATGAAACAAGGTCCCGTTACATGACTGAATAATATGAAATAAGGTCCCGTCACATGACGGTACAATATGAAATTAGGTCCTGTTACATGACGGTATATCAAATAAGGTCCCGTTACATGATGGCATAATATGAAACAAGGTCCCGTTACATGACTGAATAATATGAAATAAGGTCCCGTCACATGACGGTACAATATGAAATTAGGTCCTGTTACATGACGGTATATCAAATAAGGTCCCGTTACATGATTGCATAAATATCAAATAAGGTCTCGTAACATAACTGTATAATATAGAATAAGGTCCCGTTACAGGACTGTACAATATAAAATAAAGTCCTGTTACAGGACGGTATAATATGAAATAAGGTCCCGTTACAGGACTGTATAATATCAAATGAGACCCCGTCACAGGACTGTACAATGTGAAATTAGGTCCCGTTACAGGATGGTATAATATGAAATAAGGTTCTGTCACATGACGGTACAATAAATTATGAAATTAGGTCCCGTTACATGACTGCATAAATATCAAATAAGGTCTCGTAACATGACTGTATAATATAAGATAAGGTCCCGTTACATGACTGTGTGATATAAAATGAGGGCCCGTAACATGACTGTATTATTAGTTATGGTGTCTTCCGTTGCCGTATACGGTGTCATATTAGGTTAGCAGCAAAATGTTGGGCGAGGCGAGACGAGGCGAGCCTAATATTTTTTCTGCATACCTAGTATGACACCGTATACGGCAACGAAAGACACCATAACGAATTTATTATGATGCAAAAAGTTTACACTATTTGGTATCTTTGTCGCACATGTCATGTCAAATCTTAAAACTCAAAACTTAACACTTACAACCAAAGACGTTTAAGGGTCAAAGGGAGACTACTCTTCAAACCTCAGAGGCCAAACCTTGTTGATGATTTTAACTTTATATTATCACGAACGCGATGCAAAAAAAACCATAAACGTCTTTGTACATCAAAATTAATTATATTAAAACACAAAGCAGTGTCAATAACAAAATTTCTGTACCAGAATTTTCATGTGAAATATGTGACGTGGGTTTTGGAAAAACCAAAATGGCTATTACTGACGGTCAACGGTCTCCCATTTGGTCAGTAATAACCATCTGGGAGTTTTGCTGACGGTATCAGGCTCATATAGGGTTAGTAGTTCTGCCCTCTGATTGGTCAAACTCTCTTTTAGGCATAATAAAATATAACATAAGGTCCCGTAACATGACGGTATAATATCAAAAAATGTACCGTTACATGACTATATGATATAAAATAAGGTCCCGTAACATGAAGGTATAATATCAAATAAGGTCCCGTAACATGACGGTGTAATATCAAATAAGGTTCCGTCACATGACGATACAATATGAAATAAGCAGACGTGGAACAAATCGACCAGAGTGTTGCAGCTGCATAAACTATCGAGGGGTTCTCATCCATTACCAAACAGTACCGACATAACAGAGTGAGTGAGTTGGGTTTTACGTCTCCTAAACGGCGTTCTAACTATATCACGCGTGTCAGCTTGATGTGGGAGGAAAGCCATAAGCGATGCAGTTATCAGACGTTTACCACAATATTCAGCTTTGTTTAACTGACTGAGTATGGTTTTACGCCGCTTTTAGCAATATTCCAGCAATATCACGGCGGGGAACACCAGAAATGGGCTTCACACATTGTACCCATGTCGGGAATCGAACCCGGGTCTTCGGCGTGACGAGCGAACGCTTTAACCACTAGGCTACCCGACCGCCCCCTTTGTTTAACAAAGCATGTGAGAGTATTGCAGTGTGTGTAGCAGTCATTGTGTTAGTAGCCGTCAGAGTGTGTGTAGTTTAAAGAGTGTGTAGCTTAAAGAGTGTGCAACTGGTACGGTGTGTATATCGATAATAGAGTGTTTAGCAATGTGGAACAGTTACTTGAACAGTACGAGTGAGTGAGTGAGTGAGTTGGGTTTAACGCCGCTTTTAACAGTATTCCAGTTATATCGCGGCGTGTCAGCGCTAATGTGGGAGGAAATTGAACCGTACGAGCTGCATGTGTTAGAGAGTGCTTTCTTTGGTGTGTGTTGTAATCCACTACGTATTGCTGTCACGTAGTGTATCAGGTATGTATGTCCTAGTTGCCGACATGTACAGACATATATATTAATAATATACATCTGGTTGTCAGTTCAAGTATGTATATATGGTGTGTGTGTGTGTGTGTGTGTGTGTGTGTGTGTGTGTGTGTGTGTGTGTGTGTGTGTGTGTGTGTGTGTGTGTGTGTGTGTGTGTGTGTGTGTGTGTGTTTGCGCGTGTGTGTGCGGCTGCTTGTACTAGCCCAGACTTTCGTGCTAATCCAATGAGATACCATACCCAATTTAACACACAGAGACCAATATACTGACTCCGACAGGACCAGACCTTGTTTTTAGCCCCCAATACTGCCGAGCGCCAGGAAGGGTACAACAAATACCCGGACCGCCTCCGTGGTCTAGTGGTAGAGCGTCCGCCCGGAGAGCGGAAGGTCCGGGGTTCGATCCCCAGCCGCGTCATACCAAAAGACGTTAAAAGATGGTACTTGTTCTTACCCTGTCTTGTGCTCGGCATTAAAGGGCTAAAACAAGGACTGGTCGGCTCGGAGTCAGTATACTGTGTCTGAGTGGGGTATTCATGTTAAACTGCGGCATGGTATCTCAGTGTGCTAGCACTATAAATCGGCATCAGTCCGGACTAGTACAAGCAGTCACACACACACATACACGTGCATGCACGTCGCTATATAAGTGCAATAATCTTGGACGCGACGTTAAACCCCATTTCACCTCACCAACAAATACCCCCCGATCTACGTGCAGACGCTCTATCCGCTAGAACACGGAGGCAGTCTCCAAGTTGAAGAAACATAAGGAACCATGACGATGCATGATAAATTATGTCTATTCTGGAATCCACATTCTTTTCTGTTTGACAGCATTGATAATTAAGTTCTGACATATACATGTATATATATATATACCACTCAAAAGAAGCTAAAGAACACCCGTTTCTGTAATGCAGAAATCATGAGAATATCTTGAGTGTCGAGTGATATCATGGACTTAAACCATGTAAAAGTAGATCTATAATTTCTTAATGCATAATGTTCCTATAGTTCCATCGGATTTACTTGTTGAAAGGCGAGTGTATTGACAATAGCTTAGAATCAACTCCAACGACAACAGCATTTATCGTACTGTAGTAATGTGGAAGAATCGGGTGTTCCTTAACTTCTTTTGACTAGTATCTACTTGCTTAATTGACCAGTTTGTGTCGCAGTTTAATCGCAAACAATGACTGCTCCCTGTCCCTGGCCCTATGAATATATGCGCCCATGATCGGTGATTTTACTACATACTCATTTTCTTTTCGGATCGATGTGACCTGAACAGATGTTGGCAAGTCTACGAGGAACGAGCAGGCAGACATGAGTGAGTAGTATTGTTATCATGGTCACATTCTTAAAGGCAGTTAACGTGGCCGTTTCTTTGTGACTGACTGCAAGCGAGCTCACCAGCGTGTTGGGTGCCCGCAAGGGTGTATCCACTGTTGACAAGAAGGGTAGCTGGTTTGAAGTACTTGTTCAAGGTGCAGTGTCGTACAGGATATTGTCAAACCATAGGGTGGATTCGAGTCTTAGAAGAGATTGCGGTTATTTTTGGAGGCTTCTCCAGGTGGTAGCAGAACCCAGACAAGATCGATCGATATCGGCGAATATATTACGTCAAGTTGAACAGAGAGACACCCCTTCCACACACACACTGCCAAACGTTGTATCGTGACCCACATCCATATACCCTCAGACGTGATCAGGGTATATACTCATCTACCTATATATAGTCATCTATTATCAACGTCTGCATATCAGCACAGACAAAAGGAGGCGTTTGAATGACGAATATGGGGGGTAGGCGTGTGACCGTAGTGTTTCATTCAAGACAATTTGGATAATGATGATGATGATGATGATCATCATCATCATTATTTTTGTAGGCAATCAATAATGCAACTATGCTGTTAGCCACAATCAGCCATTTTGTCACCAGCCACCTTCAACAACCACCTTCGATAACAACCCGCCTGCACACAATCTAAAATCCCACCACACCATCCATTCGAAACCATCCACAACACCTGCAAACAACGACAGTTATTATTCTGCAACAGGTCATACGAGTAATCCATTTCGACAGATGGTTAACGCAGTATACACGTGAACGAGTTTCATAAAGCATTTTGTGTCGTTAAATTATAATAAAATTGACACGTTGCATGGCTGTGTTATGTGTCGAGAGGTCTCAGCAGAACTAGGTCCGATCGGTCTTCTAATCATGAGGGGGTTGCAGCACATCCCCTCGGACCTGTCATCCGGGTGGTGCTCGCAGTTTGATGGGGGCTAGATATCGATGTATGTAAAGCCGAATAGAATATAGCTAAATATAAACCTGACGCTCAATTCATCCTATTACTTGTCACCTAGCCATTTCTGTTACTTGTTATACCAGCTCAAGCTTATGGTGTCTACTTTTTCCAGCTGCTTCGGTACTTCAGACACATTTGCATTCGACTAAGCTTTTCAATCACGGTTTCACGTTCAAAAACCTGGTCAAGTCATTCCAGACAATACGACAGACATTCAGAAGTACTGGTGTGTGGGTACCGCGGATATAAATACATGTGCAGTGGGGTGTACCTTAATTGTTTATTTGACTCACACTATGACTGCTACACACACAATGACTGATACACACATAATGACTACTACACACGTAATGACTGATACACACTATGACTACTACACACATAATGACTGAAACACACACAATGACTGCTACACACTATGACTACTACACACATAATGACTGAAACACACACAATGACTGAAACACACACAATGACTGCTACACACTATGACTACTACACACATAATGACTGAAACACACACAATGACTACTACACACATAATGACTGCTACACACTATGACTGTTACAAACATAATGACTGCTACACACACAATGACTGATACACACTATGACTACTACACACATAATGACTGAAACACACATAATGACTGATACACACACAGTGACTGAAACACACATAATGACTGATACACACTATGACCGCTACACACACAATGACTGATACACACATAATGACTACTACACACGTAATGACTGATACACACTATGACTACTACACACATAATGACTGAAACACGCACAATGACTGCTACACACTATGACTACTACACACATAATGACTGAAACACACACAATGACTGCTACACACATAATGACTGAAACACACACAATGACTGCTACACACTATGACTACTACACACATAATGACTGAAACACACACAATGACTGCTACACACATAATGACTGCTACACACTATGACTGTTACACACATAATGACTGCTACACACACAATGACTGATACACACTATGACTACTACACACATAATGACTGAAACACACATAATGACTGATACACACACAGTGATTGAAACTCACATAATGACTGATACACACTATGACTGCTACACACATAATGACTGAAACACACATAATGACTGCTACACACACAATGACTGATACACACATAATCACTGCTACACCCATAATCACTGAAACACACATAATGACTGATACACACTATGACTGTTACACACTATGACTACTACACACATAATGACTGATACACACTATGACTGATACACACATAATGACTGAAACACACATAATAACTGTTAGACACATAATGACTGCTACACACAGTATGACTGAAACACACATAATAACTGTTACACACAAAATGACTGCTACACACTATGAGTACTACAAACATAATGACTGAAACACACACAATGAATGAAACACACATAATGACTGATACACACATAATGACTGAAACACACACTATGACTACTACACACATAATGACTGATACACACATAATGACTGAAACACACATAATGACTGAAACACACATAATGACTGATACACACATAATGACTGCTACACACATAATGACTTAAACACACATAATGACTGCTACACACATAATGACTGCTACACACAATGACTGAAACACACATAATGACTGCTACACACATAATGACTGATACACACTATGACTGTTACACACATAATGACTGCTACACACACAATGACTGATACACACTATGACTACTACACAAATAATGACTGATACACACTATGACTGCTACACACATAATGACTGAAACACACACAATGACTGATACACACTATGACTACTACACACATAATGACTGATACACACTATGACTGCTACACACATAATGACTGATACCCACATAATGACTGATACACACTATGACTGTTAGACACATAATGACTGAAACACACACAATGACTGATACACACTATGACTACTACACACATAATGACTGAAACACACACAATGACTGATACACACTATCACTGCTACACACATAATGACTGAAACACACACAATGACTGTTACACACACAATGACTGTAACACACGTAATGACTGTTACACACATAATGACTGCTACACACACAATGACTGATACACACATAATGACTGATACACACTATGACTATAACACACTATGACTGAAACACACATAATGACTGAAACGCTCATAATGACTGTTAAACACATAATGACTGATACACACATAATCACTGATACACACATAATCACTGATACACACATAATCACTGATACACACATAATCACTGATACACACATAATCACTGATACACACATAATGATTCTTACACACATAATGACTGCTACATACAGTATGACTGAAACACACATAATAACTGAAACCCACATAATGACTGTTACACACATAATCACTGATACACACATAATCACTGATACACACATAATCACTGATACACACATAATGACTGTTACACACACAATGACTGATACATACATAATGACTGCTACACACATAATGACTGATACACACATAATGACTGAAACACACATAATGACTGTTACACACACAATGACTGATACACACATAATGACTGATACACACACAATGACTGATACACACAAAATGACTGATGCACACATAATGACTGATACACACAGTATGACTGTTACACACATAATGACTGCTGCACACACAATGACTGATACACACATAATGACTGATACACACACAATGACTGATACACACATAATGACTGATACACACAAAATGACTGATACACACATAATAACTGATACACACATAATGACTGATACACACACAATGACTGATACATACATAATGACTGATACACACAAAATGACTGATACACACACAATGACTGATACATACATAATGACTAATACACACATAATCACTGATACACACAAAATGACTGATACACACACAATGACTGATACACACAAAATGACTGATACATACATAATGACTGATACACACAAAATGACTGATACACACACAATGACTGATACATACATAATGACTAATACACACATAATGACTGATACACACAAAATGACTGATACACACACAATGACTGATACACACAAAATGACTGATACACACAAAATGACTGATACACACACAATGACTGATACACACACAATCACTGATACACACATAATGACTGATACACACAAAGTGACTTATACACACAAAATGACTGAAACACACATAATGACTGATACACACAGAGTGACTGATACACACATAATCACTGAAACACACATAATGACTGATACACACATAATGACTGATACACACATAATGACTGCTACACACGCAATGACTGATACACACTATGACTACTACACACATAATGACTGATACACACATAATGACTGATACACACATAATGACTGAAACACACATTATGACTGATACACACATAATGACTGATACACACATAATGACTGAAACACACATAATGACTGCTACACACACAATGACTGATACACACTATGACTGTTACAAACATAATGACTGCTACACACATGATGACTGCTACACACGTAATGACTGATACACACAAAATGACTGATACACACATAATGACTGATACACACATAATGACTGATACACACACAATGACTGATAGACACATAATGACTGATACACACTATGACTGTTACACACATAATGACTGATACACACACAATGACTGATACACACATAATGACTGATACACACAAAATGACTGATACACACATAATGGCTGATACACACAAAACGACTACTACACACACTATGACTGCTACACACAGTATGACTGCTATATACAGTATGACTCCAACATACAGTATGACTGCTACACACACTACAACTGCTACACACACTATGACTGCTACATACAGTATGACTGCTACACACAGTATGACTGCTACACACAGTATGAGAGCTAC